ACGCTTGCACTATGTAGGTAGGTAGGTAGAGAACAAATTGTGGAAATTAAGTACAGTCTACCTTTATCTATTGTAATTGTAGTATAAAGTACTGCTTATCAAAATCCGAAACCAGGGCAACGAGAAAGTAGCATTTTTGTAACGTTTGACTCAGCTATTTGCTCTTTGAACCACCTTACTTTCTCGGATGTGCAATAGTTCAATCGATAAGGGAATGGACTTTATAATTAAAATTAGAATTTTTATGGATTTTTGATAATATTACCACCCATCGTCTGTTGTAATCTGATTAGTGCACTCAAAGATAGTATTATCTTTGCTTCATTATGAAATGGCTACGTTCTCGGAGAAAAATGCCTAAATTGATTTATCCAACAGTCCAATAGCATTCATCCTCCTCCGAATTAATTCTCAAGGCGCATATTTTGTGTCTAATTTCCGCGAAGCCCCATGAAGTTGTCTATCTAATTTTTTCAATAAAAAGAGAAATTGCGCAACGAAATTGGTGGACCTGATTTGTTTTATTTACAATATTATGAGTGATGTTTGACGCGTCAGCGACTTCTAGTTCAGGAATAAGCTAGAGCCAGATGATGCTAACTGGCTCAAAACTGGAAGAAGAGTTGTATGGAAATGGGCCAATGAGAACCTCCAGGAACGGCAAAATTTAAGATGACCCCTGTGGTGGTGGTGGTAACCCAAAATTAATATGCTTATTTTCTATGTCGCACTTCCTGTCTGTACTGTGAACCTACAGAGTTCAATGGAATAACATTGCATAGTTGCATACAGGAAGGTGGCATGGATTATTGCTTATAGTTAGTTAGTTTTTTAGCGCATTTTTGGTAACAAAAAGGAGCTTATCATTTCACTTTGTCCGGCTGGCTGGCTGGCTGGCTGGGCGGATTGAAAAACTTTTGATCTAGACATCGTAGAGAGGTCCGGTTTTTTGCATTATCTCCGTCTTGTCGAGTTATTGGCGCAATGGACATTCATTAAGCCCGTAGTGGTTGCGTTTAATTAGAATTTGCGAAATAACTAACGCCGCTTGAAAACTTGTCCGTGCGTATATCGATTTTAAGCCGATCCGATTGACGTAGAGGAATGGCTTTTTTATAAAATATACTTTTGGCATTGCCTAACTACGGTCACTAATATGACTTATCTAGGATAACTACTTCAAGGTGAAAACTAATCAAAATCATAACACGGTGATGAGTTTTACAGTTTGTGGTATAATTTTGGTTAAAAATATCGTATCCAGGTCTGAGCGGTTTTTAGCGTAACACAATGAAGTTGAGGTAACGCTTATGTGCTCGTGTTTCCGTCTGTCCGTCCGTCCGTCCGTCCGTCCGTCAGTTCCATCGAGATCTCGGCCCCTGGGACACCTAGAGACTTCGGGTTTTCGCTAATTGATAGCTGCTATGGTCTATATTTGCCCATTTCAGACAGTTTTATTGCACTCTCTATTTTGCGCAGACTGCGCATTGCCAACTTTCTTATTTATGGAGATATTTCTTTGAAATTTTAACCACAGATGCTTCTAGTAAAGGCAAACATTTCACACATAGTAAAAATTATGTAGACATGCGCAGTGACTGCGCAATGCGAACTTTCCTATTTACTGAGATTTTTCTTTGAAATTTTAACCACAGATGCTTCTAGTAAAGGCAAACATTGCGCACATACTAAAAATTATGTGTGCGCATGCCCAGTCCCTGCGGAATGGGACTGCGCAATGCCAACTTTCCTATTTATGGAGATATTTCTTTGAAATTGGAACCACAGATGCTTCTAGTAAAGGCAAACATTTCGCAAATAGTAAAAATTATGTGTAGGCATGCGCAGTGACTGCGCAATGCCAACTTTCTTATTTATGGAGATATTTCTTTGAATTTTAACCACAGATGCTTCTAGTAAAGGCAAACATTTCACACATAGTAAAAATTATGTAGACATGCGCAGTGACTGCGCAATGCGAACTTTCCTATTTATTGAGATTTTTCTTTGGAATTTTAACCACAGATGCTTCTAGTAAGGGCAAACATTGCGCACATACTAAAAATTATGTGTGCGCATGCGCAGTCCCTGCGCAATGCCAACTTTGCTATTTATGGAGATATTTCTTTGAAATTGGAACCACAGATGCTTCTAGTAAAGGCAAACATTTCGCAAATAGTAAAAATTATGTGTAGACATGCGCAGTGACTGCGCAATGCCAACTTTCTTATTTATGGAGATATTTCTTTGAAATTTTAACCACAGATGCTTCTAGTAAAGGCAAACATTTCACACATAGTAAAAATTATGTAGACATGCGCAGTGACTGCGCAATGCGAACTTTCCTATTTACTGAGATTTTTCTTTAAAATTTTAACCACAGATGCTTCTAGTAAAGGCAAACATTGCGCACATACTAAAAATTATGTGTGCGCATGCGCAGTCCCTGCGCAATGCCAACTTTCCTATTTATGGAGATATTTCTTTGAAATTGGAACCACAGATGCTTCTAGTAAAGGCAAACATTTCGCAAATAGTAAAAATTATGTGTAGGCATGCGCAGTGACTGCGCAATGCCAACTTTCTTATTTATGGAGATATTTCTTTGAAATTTGAACCACTGATGCTCCTAGTAAAGGCAACAACTTGTTGATTGCAGCGTTATCGGAGATCGGGGATTTCATTGAGGCAACTGAAGACGTCTTGATTATGGGAGACTTTAATTTCCCATTAACTGTCGTAAATCGGGTAGAGAAATTTCTTCAAGAGAAATTCAATATAGTGATCATCTCTCCCCGAACAGTGACAACGAATGGCGGAACAATAATTGACGGAGTTTTTGGCAAAATGGTCAACTACACTGTTGATTGTTCGGTTTACGAGTCGTACTGTTCATACCATCGTCCAATTATTATTAGAGTTCGTGAAAATTAATAAAGAAATATATGTTTGCATAAACCTTATTTTATAATTAAAATTTTCTGATAAAATACTGATTGCTAATGCAATACTGATCCGTCACGCCAAAAATGCGCTGAAGTCTCATCGATGCACATACGAGGACTTTTGTAATTTTTTACTAATCTGTGATGCCATGGAATTTTATGATACAAAAACTACGCTAATATCTGATATTGCCATGGAATGTCTGCTATAAAACAAATCATATTCTATCAAAAACTATTATATTTAAAACAGCGAATTCAACATAAAGAAAGACTAAATTACTGAAAACAGTTTCCTAATATAACAATTTACAATAAATGTTCGAATAAGTCACCATTAACTGCAAGAGAGTAACCAAGTCGATCATAAAATCCATTTCGAACTGCTGCTATTAATTGATAAGTGGATATCTTTTTGTTTTAGAAAATTCCATGGCATCGCAGATTATTGAAAAAGATGTGGGTTTTATTTTTCCAATTTTCCTGTCTTTATTATGCAAAAAATTGAAAACTAATACGGTTAATTGACGTAAAAAATTTTTTTCTACAAAAAACTTTAATACATTTTTGCTCTAAAATAATTTGGGCAGCCAATAATCGCATGTTATGAATTTTACATTGAAATCCCTATGATGCGTTACGCAAGTCACCACCCTGTATATGGCGACGAAAATTCTGGAAAATACCTGGCGATATCTCTGAAACAAGAAATACATCCTCAAAGAGGCTTTCAAACATCTTGGAAGCTTCGGATCGCGTCCACTAGATGCCGCACGTATAACATAATCATATTAATTAATTAAATCGAATTTCTAATGTAACTTGGCGGGCCGTATGAAGTATTAACTATGAATTATGTTATCGGACCGGACAAAACTTATCGGCGGGCCGTGGGTTGCCCATACCGGCTGTAAAGTAACTGTGTTACAAGAACTCATCGTCCAGACTTGCAAAGCCATGTAAATTATTGCATGCAATTGGTTTAATGCAAATTTACAAGATGGCTATGTATTCGAAACCCTTAACACACCATTGCCGAATTACGAGCAGGTATAGAAGCTGCTGTTCGAAACATTACGCAACAGCAGTTACAAGCCATCTTCGTAAACATGAAGAAAAGTGTGAAACCCTCGGAGAATTCCCTTTTAGTAATGGTGGAGAGCACTTCGAACAGTTGTTACAGTGTGCATGTAATTTACCCAATTACTTCAATATTAACAAAATCGCAATTTTTGTATTAATTTGCCATTCGTGTAGTTTCACACAGGTTGGAAACTCACCAGGTGGTTAAATCGTTGATTTACGTTAAATATGGTCAAAAGTTTTTTGTTTTGAATTTTAAGGTTATGTTTTAGTATTGGTGCACCACGCCTGTTGCGGCAAATGATTACTAACGATATAATTCATTGAAGCGGCGCAGCAAATCATTATTGACCGCACTGTACTGTATCCATGACAAGGTCCATGATAAGGATGTCTATCATGTGGTTCTCCAAAACAATAGAAGATACAATGATGGCCAAATTACAGAAAATATGCGCAATTAAAGAGTTATTACCATGCTTTATACAAAACCAGAAAATTCTGATTACTTCTGAAGATATGCCAGAAAAACCGAAATTTGCCGATTTTGTTTTTATTTTTTTCTGATATTTGCTGCTGAATGTTCCCTAAACTTATAGGCGACTGCTATGCAAATCATTACTGTTCTCAAGTTATACATACTACCCAGCATACTACCATTTAAAATCGCTTGATTCCCTTCGTGCTCATGTGCTAAATAGGTGATAGGTATCGTTAACAACAACCTATGTATACGTACATTTTGCAAACAGCCACTGAAAATAAATACGGTTCATTCAGCTGAGCTGGTGACCGTCCATGAATGAGCCCACTATTCACAATAAGACATCTGTACGGAAATAGTAACAACTATAAGTAGCAACAATGCTCAAATTTATAGTTTTAAGTTAATTTCCAGAATAATTAGTTGTAGTGAGGCCATTCACATTGAATTAAATAGCGAATTCTAAATAAGTACGTGTGATTCTTGCTTCACTGACGTTTGTTTACATTTGTAACTATTAACTAAAACTTATAAATAAACAATAATGACCATTTTTTTTAAAGAAAAAAGTAAACATACCTGAGTATCGTTATAACGTTCATTATCACAGTTGTTTGAGAATTTTCTTTTCCGTTTTTCACTCGGTGGAGATTCTTGTTGCATAACCCGTTCTCGATTTGGCACTTCCGTCGTTTCGTCTTTATTGTTTAAAGAATTATTATCGGTTAAGCCCCTAATTTGTAACGCCTCGGCAGTTTTTAGGAACATTGGGAGAAGGTTTTGCGATACGTTCACTTCACCTTTATACATAAAGTCAAGTAGCGCTTTCATTTCGTTATAATTGACATCTTTAAGAAATATTATTGGATGCGGATGTGTATTCTGAAGGAAGATGGATTCAAAATACGGACTACACGCCGATAGAATCGTTTGATGTGCTTTAAATGTTTCACCGTCACAAGCTAAAGTTACATCGCAAAGCGCTTCACGTTTCAACAAACTTGTTAACACATCTGTTAGGTTGTGCGGATGGTTATTCCATCGGAGGCAAAATTGTTGATCCATTTTGTTCGACCGTTACTCTATAAAAACCTGAAGAAAAAAATAAGTTAAAGTACCCATTTAATGGTAGATTGTTAATTGTTAGTCAAAGAACTTATCAAATATTTCAGTACTGCTATAAGAATGACCTGAAAAGTGTGTTAAGGTATAAAATACAGTTATTTAATTGTGCATAATTACTTCTAGCCTTGGGGGGCATTAGCTTTATAAAATTTTGCGTTTACCGATTGGAAAAACGAATTGTCTAATTACCTTTAAAATACTGCATAAACAAAATTGGAAAAGGGACAAAAATGCGTATATCCCTTCATAAGAATGCCCTTAAAATTATAATAAGTTTAACCTCATCAAAAACGAAACAATCACAAAACTACATTCAATTACATTATTTTATACACAAACATGCGAAAATAACACGAGGAATGCTCCAATTTGTACATATTTTTTAATTAACCGACGTAAACTGTACATTCGTCATCTTTTACCGCCATTATGGCTTGGATTGCAAATGATTTCTTCTGTGATTCAACTCGTTTACACATTCTATCAACAGCAAGATGGACGATGTCACAACAACAATAACGTTACAATAACAATTTTTTTAGTGCATCAATCAGATAATAGTTATCTAAGTTTGTAAGAAAATAATGCTAACTTACCTCTTGCTTAGTATTTGCCATCACAACGCCACCCAAAATTTAATCCGTCCCAACTACCATGCCAATATGACAGAAATGTTATTTTTGTTAAACAAGTTGGGCAACCAAAAGAACTTAATCGTATCTTAAGTTTATAAATAAATTTTGTCAATTAAATTCGTGCAACAAAAAAAGAATGATTTAAAATTTTGTGTTACAATTCAATTTCGCAATTATTAAAAGCTTCTTTTTAATATTTTTGTGTGGGTTTCATTCTTCGCGTGTGCAGGATTAGTTGCATAACACGCAGGCGTTTTTCTTTCTTCTTTTTTTAAATTGCTTCATTCTTGAATCTTCTAATTCTAATTCATGTTCGTGTACCAGATATTTTAAAACGAAACGTAAACTATTTTGCATGCAAGTCAAAGTCAATTATGTGTCTGTAATACGATATTTAATTAATTATCCGGTAAGGAATAGTCGATGGCTAGGGCTACTCTCTTAAAACATTACATTACAGTTTTGAACACTAGCTAGAAGTGGCAAGAAGGGGCGGTAAATTGTAACAACAACAAAAGTTTGTATGTTGGCACTTTGCACCTTATTTTTTACTCGTAGCTTTGCACCTACGGGCACAAGGAAATAATAATAAACCGGCGCAAAGTTATAATGAAGTACCGCGAGCATGCGTTTAATACGTATGACCCTACCCTGCTCCAATAAAGGTTTACCCCAAAGCCCAAGTCATGCCCTATCTGCGTAGCAAGTTTGAGTTTTATACGACAAAGCGTTTTTGACGGACCTTTTTACATTTATTATAAAATACCCAATACCTACCTACTCGTAAACAAATGAATTCAAATATTTAGTTTTTGTTTTGTTTTTCGCGGATTGCAGTCGTACTTATATACTGAAATCAGTGAAATCGTATTGACGAACCTTCTTTTAGTTCTTTTGCGCCCATTTTGGGTTTGGAGGTAATTGTAACTACAGTACATTTCCTTTCTTTTTTTAAAGGTCGAAGCAAACACATAGAAAATATACTTCGCATTCTTCTTGTTTCTTGTACGTAGATCTGTTTAGTAGGGAGACTGTGGACACATTTTTGGCAAATTATTTCATGAGGGCGGGGCCAATTTAACACTCAACTAAAAGGTCCCATTCACATGCGGATATGTACGGCGGATCTGTACGGCGGACATGTACGCGGGACAGATCCGTATCAATTCGTATGTGTGTATCCGCGGGTTCGGCGTACATATCCTGCTCGCCATCCGTCGATCAGGACGACGAGCACGGACAGCGAGCCGGACAAATCCGCACTTGTGTAGTCGTTTCACGGATTTGTTTGCCGGAGATAGAATCATCAAATACGAAATTCTTGAAAATATGTTAGGAAATTTAAGAAATCAAAATGGAAATGCGACTCAACCTACTCCAATTAAACAGTCATTTAAAAAAATATTTTGTTTAAATTACTTTGAATATAATGCAGGCGCAAATTGTGCTAAAGATATGAATGATCTTTTGGATAATTTTACAAGCAAAATTGCGGAACAACACCGAACTGTTGGTGAAACTGTTAGTCAAATACAATCCGATCAGTTACCTTTTGGGGATATCTTAAAAGTAAAATTTGAAGACTATGGTGATATTAACATTCCAGAACAAAATGCGCATTTTTGGGGAACAATTTAAATACTGGTAAAGATTGTAGTGCCTTACTCCACCAACCAAGCACACCTAACTACTAATCAAATTATTTTATGCCATTTCCGAGCATATTCTGCCAAGGCTGGTGGCTTATTTGAAAGTTTCAGCATTGAATAAGGCGCACCTGTATTCGATGGTTTCAGGTATAATTTTCCCGAGAAGCTGAGGGGAGATTGCACAACTGAATTTTAGGTCTTCAAAATTCCTTCAAGTTGCTAAGTACTGTAGCGTGGCAATTAATCGCTCTCTACTGGTAACTGCCTCATATGGGTAGGTATCATTCCTCTCAATAACTGGGCGAACATATTTTAATAAAGTTTCAAATCTCTCATTGTCCATGCGCAAAAAAATGTGCAAATCATGAGGCGTTTCCAAATCTTTAAGTAAAGTCATATGAGAGTATACCTACTTTTTTCGTTTCATGAACCACTGTTAAGACCATAGTCTCTTTTTTTCGTATCTTCAAATAAAACCTCCTCCTCCAATTATTGTCAGTTTCTCCTTATGATCCATACCAATTACCACAGCACTCAAAAGAACACAACCCAGAGCTAGTACTACACAACTGAAATAGCGACAGAACGCCGCCTGCTTGTCTATTGAGATTTGTCCGTGATCTGTGTACAGTAATATCCGCCTGTGTGTAGCTCAACGCGGATCTGCCCGCCGTACAGATCCGCATGTGAATGGGGCCCTTTATGGAAATAATGCGCAAACGTTAGTGCTATGTCAGTGCTGTTAAATGCTAGACAAACTGTATCTCAAATTCGTTCGCTGTTCCTAAAAAAGATTCCAGCATTTCATCTTTCCAAAAAAAACGAAAAAAACTAACATACTGTGTTTGCCCCTAACCATGTCAAAATTCTCAAAGCCCTCGTGTGAGATCGAAGGGACTTCAGCGCATTTTTGTGTGGTAGATGAGCATTCTATTAGTCAGCTTGTCGAATGCTACCACATTTCCTTTGTCGGTCGGTACCCACTTCTGATGTCCTGTTCACGAGCAATTCGCGTTTGAAATGTTGACTCCCACTCCATCAATAATATCTTGTTAGGGGCAACCACATTCCCTTTATCGGTACCAGCTACCTGTGGCGACACGAGCAAGAAAGACCGCGATTCGACCTTTAACAAACTTTAAACCGCGTGGCAACATTTTCAGCGTTGCAAAAGGTGGTTAATTTCGCCCCTACGATACCAATTTGAAAAGCATCGGACCAAAACTCTATAGAAGTAGATAGGAAAAAATTGAAAAATTACCACGCTCGGCGATGGCGCCCAGATGTCGCCGACCCCAACCTCATCCCTAAGGTTATTAATTAGTATTACACGACCCCGGTACGTATCTGATGCACACTTCTCGCCTTTCTACAAGCGTTCTTCTACGAGCCCGCCTTTGCTGACACTCATCAACCAGCCGGTCGGTCAAAGTGAGATTAAAAACTACCTTTTTACAAATAAATTTGCAATCATGACTAACAAGTTAAAAAGTAATCGTAAACGATTTACATAAAGCGCATTTCCACTTGCATTCATTTCCCATTTGTAAGATGCAACTTCTGTTAAAATCGTAAAAATCCGGCCACAAATATGAAAGATAGCGTTGCACATGGGCAATCCATTTTTGACGTGCTACTTCAATTTCAGTTTATGAGAAGAATTTCATTTCAATGCTTTTCTAAATAAGAAAGTTGGAACTGCGCATGCACAAACCTAAATTTTAAAACTAATGTTAGATTTTCCTTTGTTCCAAGCGCCTAAGTATCAAATTTCACTTAAATAGTTCCATAGATAAAAAAGTTGGCACTGCGCATGCGCAAAATAAATTTTGAAACTGGCGTTTGATTTTCCTTTATCCCAAGTGCCTATGTATCAAATTTCGTTTAAATTCTTCCATAAATAAAAAAGTTGGCACTGCGCATGCGCAAAACCAAATTTTGAAATTGGCGTTTGATTTTCCTTTATTCCAAGTGCCTATGTATCAAATTTCATTCAAATACTTTTATAAGTAAAAAAGTTTGCAATTCGGTTTATAAATGGTCGAGATGCGAAAAGGGCACTGTGAATTTTGAATCGATTCGATTCAACTTTTGGCATTGCGTATTATATGGCTAAAGCTATGCCCATATTGAATTTCATGCAATTCAGTTCATAACTAACGGAGATGTCAAAGCGATCGAACATTTCTAAACAAAGTTATCGTTCACACGGACAGATAGATGGACAGACAGACAAAGGAACAGACGGACAGACCAACCGGCAGGCGACAGATAGCAATGCAAAATTATAAACGATCTCTAGGATCGTTAATAACGGCAAAAGTGTAAAATTATGGAACATGTAAAAAACGGTTTTTTGTTTTTTTTACAATAACTTTTTTTGTAAGCGGTACAGAAAAAATGCCTTCCTTGGTACAAGACTCGACACCATAACGAACCAAATAGCGAAAAAAGTAGAACAATAGCTCTTAAGATAAACCGATACAACGAAATATCCAAGGATCCTCAGTATTACAATAACTTTTAACGATAATTTATTTTAATTTTACAAAATACATCAAATTCATGTCTTGGTCATTGAGATAATGCTCTTAATCTTGTTTTGATCAAAATCCATGTGGTCGCCAAAAATAGATCAAATTCATGTTTTGATCATTGAGATAATGCTCTTAGTCTTTTTCCCAACGATGTTGGTGCATAAATAACGATTTTGACATGTTTTGATCAAAATCCATGTGGTCGCCAGAAATGCATCAAATTTATGTCTTGAGCATTGAGATAATGCCCCTAGTCTTTTTCTCGACGATCTTGGTGCATAAATAACGATTTTGATTATTTTGATCAAAACCCATATGGCAATAATTTAACATTTTTGAATCACACACATGCGGTTATCAAATGTGCACGTGATGTACTCTTGCTGCATCAAGATAATGCGTTTGAAACCTTTTAAAACTCTAAATTCATGTATAAAGTGTAATTTTTGCTACATTTTGCTCTAAAACTTTCGACCTATACCACAGAGAAGAGTTATATTAAAGTATTACACATCTAAGAGTCATAGGGAATAATCTAGCGGAAGTCCCAACCCGATACATGACCTAGGGAATGAAATATGTTGATTTCTATTATATTGAGCCCGTAGTTTTTCCTGTTCCCGATTCACTCGAAGTCCTATAACTTTTGTTCCTATTGAACCAGCTTCCTGAAAATCAATAGCGTCCGTCCTTAATG